GCTCGAACTCACCAACTGTGAGATCATGACCTGAGCCGAAGTCGGACGCTTCACCGACTGAGCCACCCAGGCGCCCCTCTCCCCTGAATTTTTGTGACAGACTCTTAATTTACACTCACTCCCTCTAAATTCATCCCCGCCCGTGCAAGCCTGCTCCCTCACCGCACCGCTTGTCTGAGAGCAGGGCTCCGTTAGCACAGCCTACAGCAAGGAGCGTGCGAGGCACCCCCAGGTCACACCGCGAGTGCCACCCTGTGTTCCCTGCAGGCGTCGGTCCAGGCGCGGGTCCCGTACTCACGTACACGGCGCACACCCACACGCGCACAGACCCGCGTACACACATTCACGCACGAAACCCCGTCTGGTTTGGGTGGGAACCCACATTCTCCTATGACTGGTCCCTGGGAAGCCACGTCCCCTCTCTGGGCCGGTTTTCTCATCTGTACAATGGGGGTAAAGATAATCCCCAGCTCACAGAGCCGGCGTGAGGATTCAATCGGGAAAAGTAGATAAAGAGCTGAGGCACGTAGTGAGGACGGCCTGTTGTTAACTATGATCATCGTTAACTCCCTTCGTCCTCAGTGCTGCCACCTGTTTGCCGTCCTAGAGGGACCGGGCCCAGCTGGGTAGTTGGGAAGGGGGACAAAACAGGGGCCTAATGAATCACATGTGGCACTGACCTCCGCTTTCACTGCTGTTCACCGTCAGCAGTTTGGACGCCAAGGAGCTCAGAAGCAAATTAGTTCTAACTTTGCCTTTCTGTCTGTCTTTTTGGCATTTGGGCTTTTCACTTATTCTCACTTACTGAGTGTCTGCCAAGCGCCAGACGCTGCCCTGGGCCCCAAGGGCGCCACGGAGTCCGTGGGACAGCCCGTGGCACGCCGTGGCAGCGGCCAGCCGGGCCCCAGGGGCTGAGCACAGCACGGCTTTTCTGGACCCTGCTGCCTGCCTCGCTGGGCACCACTGGCCACGTTGCAGAAAAATTCCTCCGACCCTCGTCAGGACGGAAAGGAAGACTTTATTCAAGGAGTAGAGCAGGCGAGAGAGATTGAACTCAACTCTGAATGCGGCAGGTGAGCGGGGCCCCCAGCCCAGGAGCAGCCTGAGGGGGTCGTGGATGGACCTTGCTAAGCGGGGCAGCAAGAGTGGGGGCTCCTCTCCGGGGGCAGGCCGAGGGCTCACGCACAGGGAGGGGAAGAAGAGGGGTGTGGTTGGATGACAAGGGGCCAGGGACTCTGAAAACCGGCCTTGCAGGACTCTTGCTAAAACTGACTTGGCCAAACATGGATGGGGGAGGCCAGGATGGGGGCCTCGGGGGCGAGAAGAGGGCTCAGAGGGGCCCCGTTAAAGTTGGGTCGAGGACAGAGTCTCTGTCTGTTGGTCAGGGACCCAGGCTGACGAGGCTCCACCTCCGTGACCAGCGTCGGAGGCAGGAGGTGGGAGCCCCGAGGGCCCCTGGTTAGCAGTGCTTTGGCCTGGAAGTGTGGCCACGCTCCCCCCCGCCCCGCCCCGCCCAAGCACACCACCTGGTGCACTGCATTGCAATGGGGGGGGGGGACACACAGCGACCGTTACCCCCCAAAAAGGTCTGTTGAAGTCCTAACCCCCAGAATCTCAGGATGTGGCCGGATTTGGAAATAGGGTCTTTACAGAGGTCATGAGGGTGGGTTCTGAGCCATCTGACTGGGGTCCTTATAAAAAGGGGAAACAGGGGCACCTGGGTGGCTCAGTCAGTTGGGCGTCGAACATCGGCTCAGGTCATGATCTCACAGTTCATGGGTTCGAGCCCCGTGTTGGGCTCTGTGCTGATAGCTCGGAGCCTGGGGCCAGCTTCAGATTCTGTGTCTCCCTCTCTCTCTGCCCCTCCTCTGCTTGTGCTCTGTCTCTCTCTCAAAAACAAATATAAAAAATTAAAAACAAAAAGGCAGAGAAGATGTCTGCCCACCCACGTTCACAGCAGCATTAGTGACAGTTGCCAAAAGGCAGGAGCAACCCAAATGCCCATCAACGGATGAATGGAGAAACACAATAGAGGAAATCCACAGAATGGAATCTCACTCAGCCCTGAGAAGGCAGGACATCCTGATGGCTGCCACAGCACAGATGGCCCCCGGGGACATTATGCTTCGTGAAAGAAGCCAGGCACAAAAGGACAAACCCTGTGTGATGCCACACGCACGCAGCACACAGAGGAGTCAGACTCCTCGAGACCGAAGGTGGGAGGGGGAATGGCGGTTAGCGTTTAGGGAGGAGAGTTTCAGTCTCAGTCTGCAAGACGGAAAGTGTCCTGGGGATGGACGGTGATGACGGCGGCACCACAGGGGGAATGTTGTGCCCTAATGCCACGGAGCGGTACGTTTGAAGTGGTCAATTTTGTGCTATTTATATTTTGCCCCAATTTTATTTAACAAATAACTTTTTAAAAGGTGTGGAAGAGGGGCACCTGGGCGTCCGACTATCGGTTCGGCTCAGGTCACGATCTCAGGGTTTGTGAGTTTCGGCCCTGCAACGGGCTCCGTGCTGCCCCTCCCCTGCTCACTCTCTCCGTCTCTCTCTCTCAACAATAAATAAACTTGGACAAAAGCTTATTAAAAGGTTTGGAAGAGTCCTTTTCTTCTCCTCTAACCATCCCTGACCATTCCCTCCTTCTCCAGCAGATGGAGAGGCGACAGGATGAGAAGGGGTTGGGAAAGACCCAGAAGAATTCTCGGGGTGGTCACGGGCCGAATGCAAGCCCACGTGCCCTAAGGTCCTAAGGCACCTGTTGGAGGCAATCTGAGTACGCTGTACCGCCCGGCTCCCTGCGTGGTTTGAGCATCTCCTGCGAGCCTGACGCGCTTCCAGGCCCTGGGATGGAAAGACGGCAGCCCAATCCTGGCTCTCCCGTTTCTCATGCTCCAGCAGAGGAAACAACAAAAACCGAGGCGCAGACGCATAGGAGCATTTCGGCTCGTGGTAAGGGTTCCTATGGAGATGCGCGGGGGTCGAGGGAGCCGGTAATGGCAGGTGCTGTGGACGGGTTGGAGAAGGTGGGCTGTTCCCCATGACGCCGGGGCCCAGACGCTGGGGAGTCCACCACGGGGAAATCGGGAGGAACAGCATTGCCAGCAGAGACCAACTCATCAGCTGGACGTGGGAGTGACCTTGGCTTGTTCAAAGAGCAGCGGAGGCCAGATTCTTGGGGACTGGACTCCTCTTGCTGGGGAGTGCCTATGTGGAAGGTGTAAGAGCTTTGGGGATGCAGCCAGAATCCCCAAGGGTGACTTTCACTGTACCGGTTTCCTGGGGCCGCCATGACAGCACCGTAGGCTGGGCGCACACAGCACGGGGTTGTTCTCCCGCACCTCTGAGGTCCAAGATCAAGGCGTCAACAGACCTGGCTCCTTCTAAGGACCGGGAGGGAGACTCTATTCCCAGCCTCTTCCCTAGCTAGCCTCTGGGGATCCGTGGCTGTAGAAGCACCTTCCCCACCTCTGCTTCATCTTTGCGTGGCGTTGTCCCTGTGTGCCTGTGTCCAAATTTCCCCTTTTTATAAGCACACCGGCCATCTTGGAAGAGGGGGCCCCCCTATTCCAGTATACCTCGTCTTGACCAAATACATCCGCACTGGCCCTGTTTCTTAAGAAGGTGACGTTCACAGGATTTCAGCATGCGAATTTGGGGGAGACACAATTCACCACCCATTAGAACTGCCTTCGGTCGAGCAGTAGTGATTTCAGGGAGTTCTCCAGACCTGATTCCCCGGCCTCAGGAAGGTGCCTGGTACATAGCAGGTGCCTGACAAATGTCTGGCTGAATGAAGTACCGTTTCTGGCTTCAAGGACTTTGAAGAAAAATGCAGTAAAAGCGGAGGACATTCCAGCTTATTTTAAACTTCAATTCAGGAAATATTTACAGCCAGGAAAAATGTCGGGCTTGTTTCAGGGGCTGGGGACAGCGCAGTGAGGTCTCTGGTCCTGTGGAGCTTACACTTTATCCTGAGACACTTGGTCTTCACCTTTACTGTTACTCAGATATGACCCAGGAAGGCATCCTGAGTTCAAAATCTAGAAATGGGATCACATCCCGACTGGATGGCTGCTTATCCAGTATCCTGCTATTTATTTATTTATTTATTTATTTATTTATTTATTTATTTATTTATTTAATTTTTCAACGCTTATTCATTTAAAGAAATTTTTTTTAACGTGTATTTATTATTGAGAGACAGAGCACGAGCAGGAGAGGGGCAGAGAGAGAGAGGGAGACACAGAATCTGAAGCAGGTTCCAGGCTCCGAGCTGTCAGCACAGAGCCCGAAGCGGGGCTCGGACTCACAGACCGCGAGATCGTGCCCTGAGCCGAAGTCGGACGCTTAACCGACTGAGCCACCCAGGTGTTCTCTCCTTTAACAGAACTTGGGTTTTACGCCTGGCACGGGTTAACCTCATGAAGACAACATTCCGCAGCTGTGCCAAAGAAGCCACTGGGTCTCCGGAGAGGTCTTTACATGGAGGCTCGCTGAGGTTCGAGTTGTGATCTTGTTACCTTCCACTCTCCCATCTTTCAAGCAAAGATGGATGTCCAAATTTCCACACCAGGAGTTGGCCTTGAGAATGAAACCATTTGGCCAAGAAAGACCAAGAAGGGGGGCACCCGGCTGGCTCCATAGTGGAATGTGCGACTCTTGACCTCAGGGTTGCGAGTTTGAACCCCGCGTTGGGTGTGGACATCACTTAAAAATTGCATTTTTAAGAAAAAACACAGAAAGCAAGACGAGAGAGAGAAGCCTGGCTCCCTGCTGATGGTCTCCCAGCCCTCCTCAGGACATCTTTAATGACACAGAGACAAAACCCCAGTTATACAAGCTTTTAGTGGGGTGGGAGTGGAGGTTGGATGACTTCTTTTCTTGCGGGCCGAAGGAAATTCATGATATGATCTTTGCAAGAAACTTTTATTTAAAAAAATAAATTCACCACCTCAAAATGCTTTCAGATTACTTGTGCAGCTAAACAGAAACTTGTAAAACAAGCCTATTTAATAACCTTTAACCCAAGGTGACAATCATTAGAGAAGTCAGTATTAAATAGAACACTTATCTTGGGGCAGTGATTCCAACACGTAAACCAGTCACCTTTCTGGTACGGTCACCTTGCAAGAAAAGGACTAGATTTTCTCGAAAATCGGAGGGAGTTGGCTAACCGACTGGGAGACACCAGATAATGGATCTTGGAAGCGAGTGGACGCTGGCGGGGTCTCCCCCAGCAGCCACATTTTCCAGGAGCGCCCTGCTCAGCTGGTGAGACACCCCACAGCTCGCGCAGATGCCTGAGTCCCGCACCCTGGGGGTTTCAGCGACCCTGTTAACAAAACCCGAGCGAAATTCAGGTGCCCCAAAAGCCTATGATTTATGGTTATTAAAAAAAAATTTAATTGGAAAGCCAATTTTTGCAAAGATAGACATTAATATGTGAAACAGCCCTGTCGCTGATCAAGGAAATCTCGTGGGGGAAGAGGCTCCGCAGGGAAATAGGCACAGAGCCACCGCCAGAAGGTGAGGGCCTCGGGGACCTGGAGACAGTGGCCGTCATTCCACGTCCTCGCCCAGAGCCCGCTCCTGAGTCCAGAACGACGCCCTTCCAGGACGCCCTCCGGCCCCCAGCCGCGAGCCCAGGGCTCCGCCCTAGCCCCGCCCCACCATCCTAAACCCCGCCCCCGCCCGCCCTGAGTCCAGAACCACGCCCTTCCAGGAGGTGCTCCGGCCCCCAGCCCCGCCCCACCATCCTAACCCCCGCCCCTCTCCCCCGCCTCGCGTCCGGAACCACGTCCTTCCAAGGAGTGCTTCTGTCCCGCCCCGCCCGGGCCCCGCCCCGCCAAGAGCGGCTCCGGCCACGCCCCGCGTCCAGAGCCACACCTCACGCCTAGACCTTGCTGCTGACCTTCCCGCACTTCCGGTTCCGGGTCGATGCGGGGTTCTCAGAGGTCTTAAATCAACGGGCGTTCGCCGGCGGACGCACTCCGCCTGCGGGCGCCCTCGCAGTCCCTGCGTTTCGACCCCCTCCCGCCCCCGGGGGCCCGGGCGCCGTCTTCCCGCGGGAGGGCGCGCTTCTGGCTGGCGGTGGGGTAGCGCTGGGACCCGGTCCTGAGGGAGGGGTCCGCGCACCCCACTCCGACCTCGTATCGTGGGGGTCGACCCGTCGGCCGCTCGGGCGTCTGCGCTGGGCATCTTCTCCCCTCCCCGTGCCATCAGCGCCTCCACCAGCCGTGGCACGTCTGCCCTGCCGGCCCCCTTTCCGTGTTTCCTGCTCTCCAAGTGAAGAGGCCGGCGGTGCCCTCAAAGCTGGCCGAGCAAACTTCCGTCAGAGGCCTGACGCCTGGTCGTTCGGGGCCGGGTCCCCTGGCCGCCTCGGCCCCGGCCGACTTGGGGTGGGGTGTGGCCGCGAGCGCTCCTTCGGAGGTGAATGGCTGCACGCACGCTGGCTTCCTCCTTCGCGAAGGAGTGTTGGGCGCGCCGGGGGCTCGAGAGCAGGATACAGACGTTCCCTTACCACCTGCCCGGGCTGGCACCGCTCTGGGCGCTGTAGACACGGCCCCCAGCGCAGCAGAGTCCTCGTTCTGAGCTGCTGAATTCGGTGGACAAACACGAGTACAGTGGAACGTCGGCGCCACTCGGTTCCACGAAGACGAGTCACGCGGGGCGGGGAAGAGGAGGGTGGGGAGGCTTCTGAAGAGGGTCCGGCCACTGGGGCGGGCACCCGAATGGGTGAGCGGGCTGTGCAGGTATCTGCACAGAGGGGAAACTAAGTCCTCGTAAAGCCCTGAAGTAGGCCCCCTGTGGCTTGTTCAAGGAACAGCAAAGCCACCGAGCTGGCAGGAGTGCAGCGAGCTGGTCGCGAGGGCCAGAAACCAGGTCAGAGCAGTGGGCGCAGAGGCTTCGGGTGGCGCTCCGTGGCTCGGTGCTTGGGAATCCCCTGGGGGCGGCGCATGGAAGGCTGACTGACCCAGCTGGAGCTTTGCAAGCATTGTTCCAGCAGGTCCTTGCACCCTTCGGAAGACCCCACGGTAGCGGCCCAGCGGCAGAAGGAGGCAGGGAGACGCGGGGCGGGGGCTGGGGCGCCGCAGTAGTTCAGGCTCGGACCACAGTGGCCCCGTGGTTGGATCTGAGGTGTTCTGAACGCAGAGCCCTGCTCCCTAACTCACAGCCGGGGGGGACGTGAGCCCTTGTCAGGTAGCGGTGTCTCCAGCAGCTGAGCCTAACACTGGGAGTGACAGCGATCCGGACCCGCTGCCACACGGCACCCGGCCGGTGTCAGGTGCAGCCCAGCCAGCCACAGGGGGGCAGGGCTCCTCCGGTGCCTGCTGACCCGGAGCTGGCTGGTGCGCCCCGGCCGCCAGGCTTGCCTGTAGTTCCTGCCCACCTGACTCTCCCAAGTCCCTAACTACTCCTAATGGGAAATCCATTCCTAATAACGTGTTAAGAAGGCTTAATCCTGACTCGTTAGCGCACAAACAGCATTCTGAAAGGGTTCGGCTGAATGCTATAGTACGTACCAGTCTTGTTTTCATCACCTAAGCATGTGCGTAAAGGTTTAAAATTTGTGGGTTTTTGGCAAGCTGGCAGATTGTAGTTTTCGATGATCTATGGTGCTGTCTTCCTGGTGGCTCCCTTCTTAGGAGAGTTTGCACCCTTGTAACTGAAGCATAACACACATAGAGAACACACATTGGTCCACGGCATGTACACAGGTGCCTGAGCTCAGCGCGTTTTTGCAAAACTGAACAACCTACGTGACCAGCCCCCAGCATGTCGCCATGTCCCCGGGACCTCCCTCGGGCCCCCTGCCAGCCCAGACCCAGCACCGTCAGCTCAGTGATCACTGAGGGAGCTCAGCACATCATTACTCTGAAAATCTTACCAGGGTTGTGTTTGTGGCGTTGTGTGGTCCTCTGGCTTGACCCGGGGCTGCGTGCTTCCTCAGAGCCCGGCGGGAAGTTAGAGCCAGAAGCCGGGCGTGCTCGCTGCCAGCGTTTTTGCAGTTCGTTTTGCCAAAGCCCTTTTTCTCTCCGGTTATTCTCTTGTGCCTGAGGTGTAGACCGGTGTTGATGGTGTGGATTCTAGAAAGCAGAGCTGAGGTTGGTGGGGCATATTCGAAACTAAGTGTCACGTGCAAGCGGCAGGCTGCAGGTCTCACTGGGGCGTTTTGAGCAGTGGTAGCAGTATTTAAAAACCAAACAGTCGAGGCACCTAGGGGGCTGAGTCGGCTAAGCGTCGGACTCTTGATCTCGGCTCGGGTCGTGATCTCACTGTTCGTGGGATCTGTGCTTCGGGCTCTGCGCTGACCGTGCGGAGCCTGCTTGGGATTCTCTCTCTCCACCCCTCCCCTGCTCCCTGTCTCTCGAAATAAATAAACTTAAAAAAATAAAAATACTAAAAACAGATGTCTTGGAGAACCCGTGGAGACGTGTGTCTGCGTACGATAATGTGCAGCCCTGTCCTGGGAGATGGGACGAAATATCCTGACACCATGTGAAAGCCCACTTTGCTGTTTGCTATTCTTGCCTGAACAAAGGCTCCCTTTGGAGGTGGGGTGGGGGCGCGAATGGACACCGTTTTCCTCTCGAGGGGGGGGAACACGCTTCAGAAGCAGGCCCTGTCTTCTCTTTTCCGCAGCTACATAGGGGTGGTGTGGACGCTCCCGGAACAAGAGAGCCTTGCAAAGTGGCGGGTCTGCTCGGAGCCCAGATTTCTTCTTAAATTACACCGCAGACACACTGGAGGTGTTTTATGTGTTTGAAAGTAATTGGACGCGTCGCTCATACCCTACTTTTCAAAAGTTTCTGAGCGAGGATATTAAAGGCGCCCTCGTGCGGAAACTGTCATGCTGTGTTGGCTCCTCAGAAGCTGCCTTTATTTAAACAACCTGAGTCTTGTTTCCCTTCCAGTTCAGAGGTGTCGGTGTGTTGGGATTCCTGTCTCTGTGATGGGACGAGGGCACGTTCCGCTCAGCCCGCCACAGTGGGCCCTGGAACAGATGACAACTGAGGAGAGGGATGAACAGGTTTTGCTCAAAGGAAATGAATGGGCCCGACCAGAAAGGTGTAGCTGGGGCCCAGGCTGCCACACCTAGCCCCACCTGGCCTCTCCTGGTCCCGTCTGATCTCTCCTGGCCTCATCTGATCTCTCCTGTCCTCTCTTGGCCCTACCTGGCCTCTCCTGGCCCCACCTGTCCTCTCCAGGTCCTGTCTGACCTCTCCTGGCCTTTCCTGGCCCCACCTGGCCTCTCCAGGTCCCGTCTGGCCTCTCCTGGCCTTTCCTGGCCCCACCTGGCCTCTCCTGGTCCCATCTGACCTCTCTTGGCCTTTCCTGGCCCCACCTGGCCTCTCCAGGTCCCGTCCGGCCTCTCCTGGCCCCACCTGGCCTCTCCTGGCCTTTCCTGGCTCCCCCTGGCCTCTCCAGGTCCCGTCTGACCTCTCCTGGCCTCACCTGATTTCTCCTGGCCCCACCTGGCCTCTCCTGACCTGCCTTCATGTGGTGTCCCTGCCTCGGTGTGTGCCAGAGGACTGTGGGCATGGCTCTATCGCCTTTGTCCCTTTTATCTTGTGCTTCGTTTCCGCCCGAGGTCTAAAAAGACTTGGACCTCCCTCCAGGTTGAACAGATTCAAGAGCCCTATTCTGCTGGGGCAGCGCCCTGACTCTTCGAGTTCTGAAATGCAGAAACCTGAGAACTAGAAGCATGGAAACAAGCCCGCGTGGGCCCAGCCCCAGTTGAACAGACGTGAGCGCTCTGCCGTCTTTTCCTAAGTTTTGCAGAGAAACGTGAATGTGCTCGACTCCAGGCTGCTTGCTGGGAGGGAATTTGTGACCTCCCCAGCCC